AGTCGTAAGCAGCCGCAATCAAATGAGAGCACAAACAATGGCGGGAGCGTGTTGCCAGGCTCGACACGCATCAAGGCTACAGACAGCATTCATCACGAGAGCAACGATCAAGAGGATTACAATGGCCTCTGATCCCTGCCAGTGCAACACACTGCACAGCACTTTCTCTTCAGCTCCCTTTCTTTTAAAGGATGCAAACCCTCCAGTGTCCAGAGTCTTGGGACATCAGTCACCCCAATGTGAAAGGCGCTGTATACTCCAATGGCCATTTGTTGCTGCTGTTGTTGCAGATTTTTTTTTTTTTCTTTGGCGTTTTAGAAAAATGCCCCAAATTTAGCTCCACTTTTCTGTGCCTCAATGTTCCTCGCTTCCCCTATTCCAGCGTTATTCGCACCTCACCACGGAGATGCTACAGATTTGGATTATTCCTGCCTTGCATCTCAAAAAAGAATCTTTGCATGTGATGCAGCCGCTTTACAAGTCGTTGAAATGTCTCAAAAACGCATCACGCTCCAAAATGGGGCGACGGTGTATTTTGTAGCCATCGCAGCAGCCAATTTGCAATGAGCGATGTCCCACAAACAGTCGTGAAGTGAGTGAACAATTTTATCTGGGGGATTGTAGGCCAGGACATCAGGGCGCTGACCTCTTTTCAAACGGTGTCAATGGGACCTTTATGGAGGTACCTACACAGCATTTGACCCACATGCTGAAATCACTACATAACAGACAACTGTAAAACGAGGCGAGAATCATGGTTTAAAAGTGGAGGGTAAACAACACGGCCTACAATTTACACTGGTGTGGCTCCAGCTCAACAAAGGCATGACCTTTAGTCCCTGTAGTAGGTTTATTTAAGCCCATCACTATTGTCTTACACAATCGGTATCATTTTATTGATGAGCAGCAATTGAATTTGAGTCATGGGAACATTATTTAGCCCTCTAGCTTGTTTTACCAGTTTATTAGTTCACAGCAGATCTTTTAGTCCCATTTCATCCCCTTTTCCCCATATCTATTAAATATCCCTACTTAACAAGCATCTACCACATCTCCTGTGGTCGTGTGTTAACACATTTTCATAACTATGTGAAGAAACGTTTCCTGATTTCATGTCTAACTGTCCCAGCTCGGTTAACTCTTCTTCCCCCCCACACCCCGCCCCACCACCGCAATAAAAAAATCTGGCTAAAAGAATCAGTGTGAAAGACCTTGTTGATACAGAACACCGTGCGCAATTGGCTGCTGGGTTTCGCCCCAAAATACAGTTCTCTGTGAAACGCTTTGAGACGTCTCGATGACCTGATAAGGCGCTATATCAAATACAAGGATTATTATTATTTATTGCAACAACCCCTCCCTAAAATTCTTATTTCTGCCAAAATACTTACACAAGTCTAAGCACACACTGGAGGCACTATCGAAGTAATTAAGTATCTTCCCACAGCTTTTCATAGCGATGTAGGAAGGAGCCCACTCTACCTGCAATAAATCAGTTCAATATGGTCCACCAGCTACTCACAAAACCAGAGGGCATTTTGGAGAAGAGATTAGACTCCGCTTATCAAATTGCGTCTGCAAAACTGCTCACCAGGGCACATGAAAGAGCAGAACAGCTTCTTCCTGTGTGCGACGGTCTGAAAGACTCCGGTGGAATACACTGTCCATAGAAACCAAATAAAAATACACCACTGTGCAAAGGCTAAGCTCGAGGGTTTGGGTGGGAATTTAATGAGTCCAGTTGCACAGCTGTAAATTGCAAAATTGCTGATATACTTCATGTTGTGCTGTTCTTTACTGCCCAAGCATATGAGAGGGAAAGGCTGGATCACATCTTCAGCAACTAAGCTGTTAACCCAAATTGCAATCAGGGTAAGATTGTGAAATGTGATACTAGATCAGAGTACATACCATTATGTCGATCGGTGGGTCGGTGTGTACGTGGTGTGTGTAAGTGTATGTAAGGGGTAGAGAATGACAATTCAGCATTATGTTTATAATCTCATATCGATTTGTAGTCGTGGTCTTCCCCACCGAGGGAGAAGGGAAAGATGGAGATGGGGCAGGACAGCATGTAAACATTACAAAGGCAAATAAGAACTGCATAGAATCTGCAATTGGTCCGTGCCGGTGTCACCCTCCACCCATCCTAACTCCCCCTCCCTGCCATTCCCCTCTGTCTCTCTATTCTCCCTCATGCAAGTCAGGAGTTATAACTGCCCCTAACTAAAGCTTCCAACTCCAGCTAAGAGCCGTTGGGTTCACACCACCTTTCTGTTCTATAGACTGCAATTATTTTCTACACTGCTGTGCGCAATTGGCTGCTATGTTGTGTCCACAAAATATTCAATTTACTTTGCAGCATATTCTGTGAAGCGCTTTGAAACGGCTTGAAGACGTGATAAGGCACTGTATCAAATGCAAGGATTATGATTATTATTATCCTTGGCAGCTTTAATGCTTCTGTGCCAATTACAATTGGAGTAATGTTGAGCAATAGGGCCGCTCAACACGTGGTAATCAAGTGCTATCACCTCTAGCCCTCAAGTCCTGTTACCATAGTGGTTAGAGCGCTCGCCTCGCAAGCGAGAGGACCCGAGTTCGAATCCCGGCAAGGCAAAACGTTACTCAAGTTTCCTTACTTCACACGCCTGGTTTACCTGGCAGTAAGTAGGAATCCGGTTGTTAGTCGTTTGACGGATCACTTTTCGGGGGGTAATAACACCTTGAAAAAAAATGTTGTCACTCAATCCACAACTGTTTGTGGGACACTGTTGTGCGCAATTGGCTGCCGTGTTTCGTCCACAAGGTATATAGTCACTACAATTTACAGTTTTCTGTGAAGCACTTTGAGATGTCTCAAAGACGTGATGAGGTGCTCTATCAAATGCAAGGATTATTATTATAATTATTATTATACTTTTTTTGCATACAGTTTGGAGTAACCAAGTAGAGCCAGAGCAATGGCAACAAGCAGATCCGACAAAACTGAAAGCTTGGTACCGGGGGCAGGAAAAAACCTGGTGAAGTGTGCAAGACCTTGTTGATACAGACCCCACCCCCCCCACCACCGTCATCAAACAGGGAACCGAGCGAGAAGATCAGCCTCGCCGTGACACGCAGTGTGCCCTCAACAGTTAATGGAGAGCTCTGGTTCTGCACCTTTGAATATTTGCCCACATTACGTAGAGCTACAGGCAACGTTACTGTCAGGGAGATTTCACCACTAGTATTTTAATCCAGACATTTAAGGACTGACACAGATGTTGAGGTACAGAGGTAGCAGCAGCAGCTCCTATTCCCCATGGCGTAAACATGGACTCTTGTGCCTGAGTGCCTCACTTGAACTAATCACGGGGACAAACACCAATTAGATAGACATGCATTTTTGGAAACTGTTTTTTAAAAATAGAATATACTGTAATCACTGTGGAACGCTCCTCCACGGCATAGCCTGCCACGGGTTTTGAAAAAGGACAGTTTATTTTCTTTTCAATGGACAAGGCTGCTATGTACACAGTCAATCCACTTTACAATATATTCTGTGAAGCGCTTTGACACGTCCGAATGACATGATAAGATGCGATATCAAATGCAAGGATTGTTATTATATTATTACTACACTGAGAAATGAGAAGATTCCCACTCCTGAAGTCCCAAATTGCTCCTAATCTCAGCTCGTGAAACCAACCGTTTTTTCTTAAAGTTGAAGGCTGCACAGAATTGTGGAAAATTCTTAAACTTAGTCTCAATTCACTCTCTTCAGCTCTCCCTCCCCTCCTGGCTCAGATGCCAAGACTGGTGCTTTTTGAGGTGCTTTAAGGCATCCTCCCGATGTGAAAGGCACTATATAAATTTAAATTGTCTTGTAATAAATCGAAAGGTGGTAATTTGACAAAGAAACTGGCTTCCAATTTAAGAATTTTCCACAGTTCTGCCCGATGTGACAGAACTAAGACAAACACCATCACCCTTTCCCCATAGTTCTCAGACAAGGGGCAGGGGCAGGCCATAACCCATAGGGCTGCAGTCAGCCATACGTTCACAAGTTAAACAAAGCATTAAAAGATCACGTTGTTAGCATTTCATAGTGTTGGAAAGCGAAACAGAACTCAGAAAGACACAAGCTCCCAGCTCAGTGGAGCCTACCTCTGGGGGCTACAGTGCCTCGTGCCGAAATCGATAACTAAATCTCAGTGCTTATTAGACAGATTAAAAGAACAAAATCTTGTAGTAGAGAAATCAATAGATAGACTTCCACGTGTTAACCACTTCAGTTAAAGGAGTCCTCATCTCGTTCCCTTCCCTCCTCCCGTTGGAAATAACACCAACACCATTTTTCCCACTCTTCCCCCTTCCGAAACAAAATCAAACCCAGATCGATTGATCTGACGTGCAGCAAATCCAAAAGCTGTATGCAAAGAATTGTGCATTTCAGTGAAACGCGACTGAAATTGCCAAAGACCGTATGAACCGAAACGGTTGGCAGACCTCACCTGCTAGAACTATAGATTTAAACCCTTTCAGAACGAACTTCCTTCAATCTGCTCAAAATTAACAAAAAATTCCAGTCTCCGTCCCTCCTTCCCCCCCCCCCCAATCCCCAACCCAGCGATAGTGACAATTTGTAAAAAAATTTTAGTGTTGAATATCGGAGTACAATTCAGAGAAATTTTCGTAAGTTCTTCAGCCAAGATGAAATCGATTGGTCACGTGCTGCGAGCAATAGGCTGCCACAATTCGCCCACAAGTATCAATCCACTTTACAGCATATTTTGTCCACACAATATACAGTCAATCCACTTTACAGTATATTCTGTGAAGCGCTTTGAGACGTCTCGAAGACGTGATAAGGCGCTCTACCAAATGCAAGGACTACTATTATTATATATTCTGATTGATGCTAGGAAATGTCAACAGTTCTGAAAGGGTTAAAGGGAAAATCCATCTATGTACAGGGTTTTCTGTGTTGTTTTTTTTTAAAAAAAAGATTCACGTACCACTCAGGGAACGGCTGGGTGACGAGTGCTGACTATTGGGGGTGCTCACCGTGGGACCCATCGCCCCAGAGAACTCCTTGTCCATTGAGGAATCACCGCTCCCTGCGTGGAGAGGAAAACACAAAGATTTTTTTTTAAAAAAGACCAAAAAAATACGCGCAGAACCGAACTGATCAACAGAAGCACATTCGCCTCCTCAGACTACTGCTCAACAGAGAAGACTTTGACAACAGCCCTCACGTCTCCACCGGGGACAGGCATGGCTGGTACGAACGGCACTGCGATTTGCCGCACAGAAGTCTTACTGACTGTGACAATTTTCAAACGGCTATCAAAAAAAAAATTCCCATTAACTTCCAGATCCTAGGGTCTCGGGCACACATACCGCGTGTCAGCTAGCTCCACAAAACAGCGCAAGTGCAATAATTTGCTAAATTATACAGCAGTTTTTGATGCATGTATTTGAGGGCAATTCCAGCTCTGCACAACACTGTGACACTCAACTCCAGATAATGTCATAGCTGATCCATGTACCAAACGGTTTTGTGTCGCTCTCATTATGCAGTACCTGGGCAGAATGTCTGATGCAAGTTTCGGAAACCAAATACAGAATACTGATCAAGGCTCATAATATTCAGGCTATTGATGCTCGATTCACTCGATACATTCAAAATTCACTGACTTAATTCCACTACAATACATTACGCAACTAATCGTTCATCAACAATAATAATAACACTTGCATTTGGTACAGCACCTTATCCTGTCGTTGAGATGTCTCAAAGCAATTTCTTGTAAAGTATTAAAAACAGACTACATTTTCTTATACACTGTATTACAAATACACACATATATATATATAAAAATATATAAGCGCCTTGGGACGTCCTCCCGACGTGAAAGACACTATCCAAATTAAATTTTGTATTGTATATTTACTGTATATAGAGGAGTGACTCAGATCTTGCAATTTCGCCAGAGTTTGCAGAGTTTGTCAATGTACTTAACAGATGCAGAACATATTCATCAGAAACTATAGCGTTGTGCTGCTTCAGGTCCCACCGCACTTCCCGTCCTATCATTAGCAGTTGGGTATTCACCATCTCTGCCCCCACAATTGGGAACTCTATCCCGCAATCCCTCGCCTTACCCCTTCTCTTGCCTCTTTCAAGTCCAGACTGAAGACCCCCCTCTTTGACCGTGCCTTCGGCCACCTTTCCACCTCCACACCCCTGCCCTCCACCCCTCCTGACTCCAACTCGGGTCCAAAACCCAATTGTCCATTGCCCTGGGATGCCTTTCTGATGAGAAGGGCGCTATACACGTGTAATTTTTTGTTGTTGTAAAGTGAATTGACTATATTTTGTGGGCAAAACGCAGCACCCAACAAAAGGCCTTGAAGTCCATGGGGTTTGCTCCTGTGTTTGAACCCACGAGATTACTAGCACTGCAGCCGTCTGCTCGCACAACAATATCTTTTAATCTCATACGCTCACCTCCCCTCGTCCTCCTTAAACTCAATCCCGGGGCTTCTTCAAATTTTACCATTTGTGAAAACTAGGGCTGGAACAAAGCTTCCTTTGTTCAGCGAAGCTTTGATGCTTTTCGGCTGGATCCAAGATTCATTATTAGCTCAAATTGCTGCTCCGGTGCCTGGAGTTTGCTTCACTGCCCCAGAACAGACAGATGTCCAATGTTTCCAAGCCCAAAAGCAAGAGGATTTCAATCTTAACCCTATAGACACACGGGTTCAACGAGTAAACAAGCCCAAAAGGCCTCCAGCAAAGGTCATGATTTCCATCACTTCTTAAAAGAAGTTTTTGTTCAAAAACTTTCAGGGCTGGAATTGCATTTAGTTAACAAGGGGAGGGAAGAGAAGCTATAAATCTGACATTGGCCATTAGTGCACAGTTCACAGGAGCACCAGAACTTTTTAAACATATAAACAGCACATGAAAAGGCTAATCTTCCCCAGTCCCCCACCTCCGAAAAGAAAATCTAGCTGCGAGTCGATCATGTGAAGTGCTTTGAGACATCCCCCTGATGTGAAAGGCGCTGTACGAATGTAAATAGTTGTTTTAGAGAGTCAAGTGGAGACAAGAGTACTTTGCTTGAGCAGAACGCTGGTTCAATTTGTGAATTCCCCACCTTCTTATTTTTAAAAGTCATTGGCGGAAGGTAGAGTGGCTCACATTCTTCTACCTCAATCTCCCCTTTGTCGGTGGCATTTCTATGTCTCCCTCCCACCCTCCGCCAAAAACATCAAGGTAAGAAAAACCCAACCAAATATCTATCTAATGCTTAGTCACATCGTTACTCAGGTCACTTAATAAGAAACCTTTAGGGCCAGTGGGACGGCCAGGACACAACAAATGGATTGAGCTGCTCAGTGATTGTAGGGGTTTCTAATGGTTGTATTCAAAAACAAAACGCTTTTACTTTTGTTCTTTTACAAAAAATATTATGCTTAATCTTACTATTACATAATAATTATGAAAATAATCATAATTCGCAAATACACAGTCACTTTACAGTATATTTTGTGAAGTGCTTCGAGCTCTAATGATATGATAAGCCGCTATATCAAATGCAAGGATTATTATCAGCAGCGCCTTGGGACTCCTCCTGAATGTGAAACGCGCTTTACAAATGTAATTTTCTTGTTGCCTTATCGCGACATTGAGACGTCTCAAAGCGCTTCACAGGATTTAAAGTGGATTGAGTGTGCACTGCGTGAACAAAACATGGCAGCCAGTTTGCGCACAAACTATCCATTAATTCCGTAGCTTTTATGTGGGAAATTTGGTTTGTGAGAGAAAAGAAAATCACATTCATAAAAAGACGCCTTAGCTGGAAAGTGTGCGCGTGTGTGTGGTGGTGGTGATGGGTGGTGGGGGGGGTCGAGGGGGATACATCCAACGTACAAAAGCCCAGCAAAGGGAAACTGGCTTTTCAATTTACAGTGAAACTAAAGCCTGATTACGGGTAAATATCAGACAGAGCTGATGCCAGGGATTTCCATACCGTCAGCTACAGACCTTCTTGGAAGTGGGTCTTCCAGGAAACTAGCCTGAACCAGCCTCCTCTCAGTCTACAGCGGTATTGATGGTAAGACAAAAAAAAAGACCCGAAGCATCAGCAGCAGCTTCCAAGCACTTGATGCCTTGCAGCTGGAATTTTTTAGAGAGAAATTCTCCTGCAGATTCACGTTTCATGGTTCTCTTCTGGACTCAGTTTACCCATTTAAAAGCCTCGCTCGATAATAAAAATAATAATAATAATCCGTCCGTTTGATATGTAGCGCCTTATCACATTTTTGAGACGTCTCAAAGCGCTACACAGAATATACCGTAAAGTGGATTGACTGTATTTTGTGGGCGAAACGTGGCAGCCGGTCACGCACAGGGGTGACCCAGAAACAGTCATGGATTGAGTGACTACATTTTTTGGGGGGGTTGTTTTTTGTTTTTTGTGAGAGATTATTACCCCCTGGAAAGCGATCTGTCAATCGGTTCCTGTTACGTGTTGGGGTGGGGGGTGAAAGAGAGAGGGGGGGGGGGGGGTGGGGGAGAGTAGGAGACAGAGAGAGAGAGAGGACAAGAATGAGACAAGAGACAGAGAAAAGGCGAAGTGAATCTCAAAAGAGCTAGGAACTTCATGCCTTCCCAGGAAACTTGACAGCAAGTTCTGAGTGTGACCTGAACGCTGGTGAGTAGAATGCTACTTGCTGGGCGTTTCCAGTTCTGCGACTCTGCCCCACAGCTCCCAGCAAGAAGGAATGCAGCTGGCAGAGATTGCACATCATGAGTTTGTATCCTGGTATTTAACCTTTGTTCCCACAACCTGGTCTCTTAGCACTTTGGGAGAAGGGGAACACAAAAGAAAGTGTTCCAAAAAATGCTTCCGAGAAGGTGTGCGAGTGAACGTCCCACTCTAGCAAAGCGCAAGCATCGTCTGCGGGCGCAATAATACGCGAGCACGCACTCGGATCACAAGGGTACTGTTCAAAGACAGGATTTTTTTTTGGTGGGGGGGTGGTGGGGGTCAGCCAGATATCTGACACATGCGGAAGCCCATCACCACGCTAAGGAGTCTTCAAACCAAGCTGAGAATTCCATGCATCCCACCTACACATGGAAATTCCAGAGACAGATTGTTGGAATGGAAGGAATGTGCACTCTCTCTCTCTCTCTTCCCCCTCCCCGGAGGGACATGGACTGCTTACCTAATTCCGGAAAGTATTAGGCGCAGGTTGGCGAGAGCCAAGACTTGGGGGGGAACCCAGAGTGTGCGTTGTGGTAACTGCTGGAAGTCTAACCAGCTAAAACCACACAGCTTGCCATGCATTACGCTGTCCGGAAACATTTTAAAATGATTTTTTTAAAAAGATAGGAATCGCCATAAGATTGCCTTTAAAGCATTACAGATAGTAAAAGGCGCTTACTTTTCGAAATGGTTTGCTGATGACATGGGGGGAGCTGGCTGGAAAAGCCACACTGCCCGACAATAGCAAGACGTGGGTACATACTTTGAAATGAAGCATCCTAAACTGTATCTAGCGGCTAGCTTTATGGTATATCGAGCTTCACAAGCCCCCAGAGACAAGTGGCGCTAGCTCCTGTGGAGGCCACTTGATCCACCTAAACATGTGGTTTACATGGGTCAGAACACTGGCTGCCAGTAAACTCAGAGGCTCATAACAATAATAATAATCATTGCATTTGATACGGCATCTTCAAGACCTCTCAAAGTGCTCCACCGAATATACTATAAAGTGAATTGACTGTACATTTTGTGGAGTCCTGTAGCTCGGTGGTGAGAGCACAAGCGAGACACCTGGGTTTAATTCCAGGCAGAGGGCGAAACCTTGGGCAAGTTTCCTTACTCCACACAGAGCCTAATAATAATCCCTCCAAAACAAGACAATAATAAATTGGTCGTTTTCAATCCACGACTGTTTGTGGGACGCTGCTGTGCGCAATTGGCTGCCGCGATTCGCCCACAAATAATACGGTCAATTCACTTTACAGTCTATTCTGCGAAGCGCTTTGAGACGTCGAGAAGACGTGAAAAGCGCTATATCAAAATGCAAGGATTATTATTATTATTATTTATTTTGTGGGCTTGTCCTAGCCAAACTCTCCCTCTCTCACTAACTGAGGACAAGCCGCCAGTCAGCGAATAGGAGTCACGAATCGTGACTTGCAAACGACTGCACAACCCACCAGCTTTGCTGACGCCATCTTGATTTTCCTCTAAGTTGCAATGTGGGGGGGGGGGGGGCAGGTCCCAGAATCAAACCAGCGTGTGAAGCCACCGAGTCACACAAGCAATGACACTGCCACAGGCTTTGTATTATCCCATATAAGACACGGAACAGGAGCTTCTCACAATGCCTCATTCAGTCTCTGAACTTTGAACGTTCTCAAGTTCCTAGCATTACAAAAACGGTTACTACACTTGACACCAATTACTCTCAAGGACCTCGAGACATTAATAAGGTGCTTTAAAATGTAATTTCTTTTGTTTACTGTGGGTGCTAAAATCCCTCTCGACTGATGGGGTGTGTGTGGGGGGAGTGGGGGGGGGTTAGGAGGTAGATAAGAAACCGCTAGAATTCTAAGGGATAAGAAATCCCTTAGAAATAAATAAAAATAATAATCTGGTCATCCAATCCACAACTGATTTTAAAAGATGTTGTGCGCAATTGGTTGCCTCATTTCGCCCACAAAATGTACAGTCAAATTCACTTTATAGTATATTCTGTGAATCGCTTCGAGACCTCTGAAAAACATGATAAGAGGCTATATCAAATGCAAGGACTATTATAGGATTATGAAATAATGGCCAATTTGGAACCATTCCCATTGGAAGGAAAAAAAAACACTCCTTCGGGACAGATGAGAAAATCGTCAAGGGGAAAAAAAAATACTGGTCGAGAACCGGCAATTAATAAAGTAAATGGAGAAGCGGTTGGCCCTGTGGTCAGCCCTTATCGCATGTCTCTAAGCAACAACAACGTGCTTTTATATAGCGCCCTTCATGCAGGGTAGCGTCCCAAAGCTTTTGACAGTGCCTGTCTTGTCGTCGACAAGCAAAGACTGAAGCGTTCCCAATTCTATCCCTTGTCAAAAACAAGACGGTCTTATTTCATTTTAAAGATGTTGGAGGAAGTTTTTTTTTAAAAAAAAACACTATAAATGCAAGGTGAAGCCATTACTTGTCTGTTTCTCTAATGCTCTGGAAAGAATCTACTGCATTGACTCCTCAGAGCCAGGTATTGATATTGACCCCACTATAAGACTCCACAGTCGTCCGCATAAATAAGTCAACGGCATTAAAATAAAACATTCCCACAGAAGGCGAGAAGGTTTTCTAGTAATAACCCTTTGTTACGATTAAATTCAGCATCTTTAAAGAGCAATAACCCGGCCTGTCTTGTTGTTGACAAGGGATAGAATTGGGAACGATTTAGTCTTTGGTTACTCAATTGCTTAGCGACATACGATACGAGGGCTTGATTTTCTTTTTCATTAATTCCAAAAGAAATAGGATTCAGGCTGCTGATAACTAGAAGTGCAAAGGCCACAGTATAAGGTGTTGCCGCCTTTAATAAGAGCCGTTTCCTCCAAAACGATGAATGAGAGATGACGGGAAACATTCAGGGATGTGAATGTGCGCGCAAGACCAGTACATATTTTCCGTGCACTGTGTTTGATGTGAATTTTCTACCTAGATTTTATACACAGAGTATGCTAAATCTCGCATCACAAAAGCATTAGCAAGCTAGCTGCAGTTTTCTAGATTACCCTGAACACAAATGATAAATTGCACAGCATTTTTTCATCATTAATAATAATAATACTAATCCTTGCATTGGATATAGCACATTATCATGTCGTTGAGATGTCTCAAAGCGTTTTGCAGAATATACTGTAAAGTGAATTAACTGTATATTTTGTGGGTGAAACGTAGCAGCCAAGTAATGAATCTGACTATTTAACCTGACAATTGTTGTGGTACAAAACACAGGTTCACCAGAACATCTTTAAAAAGAAATGCACCGAAAACAGTGTGTGTGTGATTTCCTCAATGGATTAGCAGTTACAGACCCGCCAACCCAGCACTGAGCCACACAGTGCAGAAGACAGGTTTAAATTCCTGTGTGGGTATGTGTATTAAATTCCTGTGTAACTGGAAACACCCAGCAAGTAGCATTGTGGGTATGTGTGTGTGTGTCGGAACCATGCTAGCAGTCAGGGAGCTGGAATTGGCCTCAGTGTCCATAGCCTGCAAAGGGCAGGAAGAAAACTGTGGTTCCCTCTCCCCATCGCAATTCAGTGACCTCCGCACGTGTAGGCATCAAGCTCGACTATTATTCATACATTTTTCATAATGTGACAAACAGCTTGTGCAGCGACGCAGATTTTTCAAAAGTAATTGACCAAATCTTCAAACTCCTCCCGTACAACCAACCGTTTCACATTCAGTCTCTGCTTTAAAGCTGGAAAGTTGTGCAAATGCAGCATCACATCAACTATTTGAGATTTGATATAGCGCCTTATCACGTCTTTGAGATGTCTCAAAGCGCTTCACAGAATATAGCGTAAAGTGAATTGACTGTATATTTTGTGGGCGAAACGCAGCAGCTAATTGCGCACAGCAGCAACTCCATAAACAGGCGTGGATAAGTAATCTTTTTTTAAAATTTGGAGGGATTATTATCCTCAGAAAGCGATCCGCCAATCGACTAACAACCAGGTTCCTACTACACAGAAGCGGGTGAAGTAAAGAAACTGCCTAAGATTTCACTCTACCCGGGAATCAAACCTCGGACCTCTCGCTTGTGATGCAAGTGCTCTAATGAGCAAAAGTAAGAAAACTAAAAACAAAATAATTCAAAAGAAAGCTTACAACGATGAAGGTCGATGAATAAAAGTCAGGTAGTGGCGGGGCAATTTAAAACCAGGGTGCAAATTTCTTCTTAAAAAGGGTCCAATTCTTCGGCAAAACTTTCAAAAATATTACAGTTCAATAATTTGACAAAAGCTTTGACATCTAACCCCCACTTTAATAATAAAAAAAGGGTAGCTTTTCCTTACCTGAAATGTAACCGCGCCCATTGCAGTCTTCTATATCCATCTTCAAAGTGCTGTGCTGGAATGTGAAAAAAATAAAGGCAGCGTTAGTTTCTGTTAGTTTCGCCTTGACCCCCTCCCTTGCCTCCTTCAAGGCACGTCTCAAGACCCTCCTCTTCGGTCACCCTCCCTGATTCCCCACCCCCCGCCCCAAACTCAGGACCAAATCCCTGACAGTCCAGTGCCTTGGGATGTCCTCCCGACGTGAAAGGCACTATGCAAATATAATTTTGTACTATATTGATCTTGGAGAAGCCAAAGGCACGACATTTCAGGCGTTTGATCGAGAAATTTAGCAGTTCCTGTCTTTACCATCTAGAATCAGGTCACAAACTCACAAAGACACAAATAGGCCAGTCAACCCAACAAAGCTGACCTATTACCCATCCAGCATCCAACTTTATTTTGAACGTTTAAAATTATTTTCGATTCCTGGGAAGGGCAAAACGTTGGGCGAGTTTCCTTCTTCCACACACACGCCTCGCAGTACCTAGCAGTAAGTAGGAACCCGCTTGTTTGTGGATTGGCGGATCGCTATCCAGGGATAATAATCACTTCAAAACAAAAATAAACTTAAAGCTAATAATAATTTGGTCACTCAATCCACGACTGTTTGGGGGACACTGCTGTGCACAATTGACTGCCGCGTTTCGTCCACAAAATAAGGCAGAGGGATTAAGGGAGAGAGTTCCAGAGTTTCAGGGCGTTTTTATACTTTTCAAAAATATACGGTCAATTCACTTTATAGCATATTCTGTGAAGCACTTAGAGATGTCTAGAAGACGAGAAAGGCGCTATATCAAATGCAAGGATTATTATTATTATTATTTTCACCTGCAGAACTATCTGCTAATAGGTGGTCACTGGTTTCTATGGAACTACTGTTGGGTTTTCTCATGGAAAAGCACTTTCTAATAGTTTGCCAGTATTTCCACAACAGCACCTTGCCAATATTTTAACTGAAGTGTCTGTGGGCAGAATGCCAGGATGGTCTATAAAACTATCTGAAGCAGTTTTAAAATACAAGCTGACTATATCTGGCACACCGGCGAGATCACTTTTTTCCCAAATTAGCTTTGAACATTATTTGTAGACTGTCCTTTTCCAGCAAAAATTCCGGTAAAAGTCAAAAAAAAAATACAGTGTTGGAATTTTAGGGCTGCTTAGAAAACAGAAGAGATATCTGTAAGAATAATAATTCTTGCATTTGATATAGCGCCTTATCACGTCGTTGAGATGTCTCAAAGTGCTTCAAGGAATAGAAATTTCTGGAAAGCTAATCAACTGTATATTTTGGGGGCGAAACGTGCCAGCCAAATTTCGCACAGTCCTACAAACACTGTGGGACTGAGTGACCAAATTATTATTATTATTGTTTTAAAAAGGATTATTATTGCTCGAAAGCAATCCAGCAATTGACCAGGTTCCTACTTACTGCCAGGTAAACAGAGACGGGTGGAGTAAAGAAATTTGCGTAAGGTTTTGCCCTGCCAGGAATCAAACCCGGGTCCTCTCGCTTGCGAGGCGAGTGCTCTAACCACTGTGCTACAGGACTCCACTGTAGGTTACAAATAGGCAAATAACTGGACTGACTGCCCAACAACGAAGAAACCATGGATTACAGGGCTTGCTTGGAAAGCAAGATTACGCAACAGAAGACTTTGTAAGGGATTTGAAGAAGTAACAGAGAAGAGGAGTGATGGTTGTAAGGCACTATGAGCGGCAAAATTAGCCTCTGCAAGACATCTGCAACACTTCTGATTTCATAAGCACAAATAATTTTCTCATCTAGTCAGCAAAGCAACGCCTCCCCAAAAACAATCAGCGACCCCCAACCTTCAGATTAACATCTCCTTTGGTTGAAGAACAGACCCTGCGCTGGAATATTAAACAGTCGGTTGGGTGACTATTAAACCCCAGCACGCACAAGAGCATTCAGGACAGGAAGGGAGAAAACTTAGATTGGTGGTTGGGAGGGCGAGNAAAAAAGAAGGGGGAGAAAAAAGAAAAACAATTCCCTCTAACCGTATCTGGAACAGGTTTTAATGAATGATTTAATGTTTACTTTTGCCTACAAAACACACAGTCGCTACATTTTCCGGTATGTTCTGTGCAGCGCTTTTGAGACGTCTCGAAGATGCAATAAGGCGCTATATCAAATGCAAGGATTGTTATTATAATAACTGGACCAAGCTCTCAGCTGGTCCATACTCGGGATGTCTTTAGGTCGAGCCTGTCGGTTCGCTCAGTTACTAATGTCATGCCACATTTTAAGAAACGCTGATCACTGGCACCAAAAATATTGAGAAACACTGAAGTGGATCACGTTGGGCCACGGCTATGAATGCATTCTCCAAGTTAAATGCAGTCTGTCCAGAACTTTGCATTGCAACACCTCTCTTGGCATAGCTAGACTCGCGTTGCTTAGCTTATGTCCACCACAATACTTTTCAGTCTCAGTTTCCCTGATGATATAGCCCTCGTTTACAGTCAATTCACTTTACAGTATATCATGTGATGCACTTTGAGACATCTCAATGATGTGACAAGGCACTATTTCAATTGCAAGGATTATTATTAGTATTTTATAGTTTTTTATATTTAAATGCTCGTATTTCGTCTCACTACATTTGTAAAAGTACATTTTTATAGTCAACCGAGCACATCTGTAACATCAAATAAATTCTGTGGTAATGCTACAAATTGTTTAAATAAATGCTTGGAGGATGTTATTTAACCACAGGTTTAAAAACATTAAGATGTATACAGCATTTATTTGAATGCTGTTCATGCCACAGTCGTGTGAACTAAACAGATTTATTCCAATGGAACTCAATGCAATGACAAGTAATGTACTGAAAGAGATTAACGAAGGACTGACACAAAACACTCAATGTCCATCGCTCATCATCTTTTAATGGGGAAACCAAATTGAATGTGTGGGTTTGGCTGGAGGTTTCTCATACCTTTAGACACGAGCAGAACCAGCCCACCCACCCGCCCAGTTGGTGGAAACTCTGCAGGGATGAGGTTATCAGGATTTTGGGCGGTCAGAATATGGTCCCAATAATTTGGACTAATTTAGATTTGAGCAACACAATTGGCAAAATGTGTAGATTGGTCTGGGAGAGTGAAAACTTGTGGAGAAAATGCACCAGACTCCTCTGGCTCCCTATCACAGAACAGAGCGACTTCAAGATCCTTATACTTGTCTACAAATCCCTTCACACCCTCGCACCTCCCTACCTCTACAACCTGCTTTTTCCCCACTCCACCACCCGCCTGCCGCCTCTGCCCAGATGGCTCCAGCCTCCTGCTTGTCCCTCGTCCCCTCCACCATCAGCAGCCGTTCTTTCAGCCACTATGGCCTGAAATCTTGGAACTCTCTGCCTCAATCCCTCTGCCTTGCCAGTAGTTTATCGTTTAAACAACTCGCCTCACAAGCGAGAGGACCTGGATTCGATTGCCGGGCAGGGCGAAATCTTAGTCAAGTTTGCTTGCTCCACGTGCCTCAGTTTACCTAGCAGTAAGTTAGTCAATTGGCGAATCGCTTTTCCAGGAAAAAAAAATTAGTAATTTAGGACACTACTGTGCGCAATTACCTGCTACGTTTCGCCCACAAAATGAACAGTCAATTTATTTTACAGTATATTCTATGAAGCGCTTTGAGACATCTTGAAGACTTGATGAGGCGCTATATCAAATGGAAGGATTATTATTGTCCCCTCTTTCCCCTTTTTCAGATCCTGACTGAAGGCTTTCCTCTTTCGACAGTGCTTACAATCAACTCCTCCCTCCACCCGGCTCAGCATCAGGCTCCGCCACTGTTAAGCGCTCGAGACACTATCCTGCAAAAGATGCTGTTGAAATGCAAGTTGTTGTCGTTGCCAATTAATTCCATTAGCAGGTGTTAATGCAACAGCCTCCAACAGAAAACGCTTTAGACTTTGCCACTTTAGTTCACTTCAGTAATTATTTGTGCAAACGGGGAACATGTTGCTGATAAAGAAATGGCTTAAAAAGTTTCAAGAGGTTTCCCAAGTCCTACTTCGCTTTGGTCAAGAATAAATTTTAAAAATCAAATGTGGAAAGACAGTCAGAGAATTAAAAAAACAAAGCACTGAGACAATGTTGTTGGCTTTACTGAATATTTTTACTATAACAAGTTATAGTTTCATTGCTGCAACTTTCAAAGGTTTATCAATTATTAGAATACCTAAAACCTGGTAATCTACTTTCAACAATATGAAATTTACTCTTGGGTCAAATTAGACATTTTTGAAAATTGGCACAAAATCAGGATAGAAAATGTATTCAAATTCAGGTAAGTTTAAATCTTTTTAGCTCTACAGAGAACGCATCGCCATATTCCTTCCTCATCATTTCTTTTTAAAAAAAACTAGATGTACTTACAGCGTTAGTGAGATTCAGTGTTACACTCATGCTTTTACTTGGTGCCGGTGGAGTAAAATGGATATTTTGAACCGAGCGTCAATGTTGGATCCAGCTGCTTTGATTGCCACGACCAAATAGACTTTCCAATGAAAGAGTTAAACTGTCGGTACAGCAGAACCACAGCTCGGACGTAATCAGACGCTGCTCTGAGTCACTTCCAGCACTTCAAATTGGAAATTACTGGGCACAACTAGGTCACACGCGTTTCATCGGCACACCTGCGTTCAAAGAATAGCCAATGCTGAGTGGAGGGGGACGTTGCCGGGGGGAGGGGGGCGGGGTATTTAAAAAGATCAAAATAAAATGTCACAGAAACAGTGTGAAGGGATCGCAAATTCACAAATAGTTTTTCGAAATAGATTTCGCCAGATATTAAATCTATAAGTGTAATTTAATATCTAGGTTTCTTTTAAGTGCCTATTTTTCCCCAAGGCACCACACATCACTCCCTTACCGAAAGACCAGCAAACTATCCCTAAGCAGTTGCCAATGCGCTCAGCCGGTTGGTTGCTTTGAGAGGCTGGGGGGGGGGCAATTAGTTTGCCCTCTGTGGTTTGCCTCCCTCCATTTGCCACGGTACCCCAACACTGCAAAGCAAGAGTCTGATGCTTAACATATGGG